AAAGTGCCAAAGCCATCCTGAGAAAAAAGAATGAGGCTGGAGGCATCATTCTACCTGACTTCAAACTATACTACAAAGCGACAATAATCAAAAAGACATGGTATTGTTAGAAAAACAGACACAAGAACCAGTGGAACAGAATCGAGAGTTCCGAAATAAACCCATGTTTATATGGGCAAATAATTTCCACAAAAAATCCAAAACATACAGTGGAGAAAGGAAATTCTCTTCAATAAATGGTGTTGAAGGATCTGGAAAACCACCTGCAAAAGAATAAAACTAGACTGTAGTTTATCAACGCACACCAAAATTAAATCAAAATGGATTAAGGACCTATATATAAGACCTGAAACAATAAATTGCATAGAAGAAAAGATAGGAATTAAACTCATGGACCTTGAACTTAAAGAGGATTTTACGAATTTGACCTCAAAGGCAAGGGAAGTAAAAGCAAAAATAAATGAATGGGACTACATTAAACTAAAAAGCTTCTGCACAGCAAAAGAAACCATCAATAAGGTACAGAGACAACCATCCAAATGGGAAAATATATTTGCAAGCCATGCCTTTAATAAGGGCCTAATATCCAAAATATACAAAGAACTCATTTAACTCAATAACAACAGAATACAAACAATCCAATCAAAGAAATGGGCAGAAGACCTGAACAGACACTTCTCTCAAGAAGACATACTAATAGAAAACAAACATATGAAAAGATACTCAACATTGCTAGGTATTAGGGAAAGGAAAATCAAAACCACAATGAGATACCAACTCGCCCCTTTTAAAATAGCTGTTATCAACAGGACGAGTAATAACAAGTGTTGGAGATCATGCCAAAGAAAAAGGAACCCTCATACACAGCTGGCAAGCCTGCAAATTTGTACAGCCACTATGGAAAACCATATGGAGGCTTCTCAAAAAATCTAAGAATTGATACCGTATGATCCAGCAATCCCTTTACTGGGTATTTACCCCAAAGACTTGAAAATATATATCTGAAAATATATTTGCCCACTGATTTTTATAGCAACATTATTCACAGTGGCCAGGACATGAAGCAACCGAAATATCCTACAGTAGATAATTGGCTAAGGAAGCTATGGTACATATATACAATGGAATACGACTCAGCCATAAGAAGGGATGAAATACTGCCATTTGCAAAAACATAGGTGGACCTTTAGATAATCATGCTAAGCTAAAATGACCAAAAATGTTGAAAACCACATGATATCACTTATATATGGGATATAAAATTGAAAGCATCAAATGAACAGGAGAAACAGACTCATGGACATGGATAATAGACTAGTGGTTACCAGATATTATGGTGTGAGGGAGAAGAAGGTAGGTAGACGTGGTAAAAGGTGTCTAATATTTAGTGACAGAGAGAAATCTAACTATGGATGGTGAACCCACAATGCATTATATATATGCCTTACTGTTGAATTGTACACCTGAAACTTACTAAATTTCATTAACTAATTTTATCATAATAATAAAATAAATAAATAAAAATAAATAAAAACAAAACAAAACAAAATATCTAAGAACAAATGGTTAGACTTATTATGGAACTTACCGAAGCTCATAAACATGATTGTTTTCGTAGGGCTCCATTATCTTCTTACATTTATCTTATTTACCTTTTTTGTTAATTATAACATTAGTAGAAGACCTATGTGTATGGCAAATCTAGATGAACTTATCAAAAGACAGGCAAAACAGTATTGTGATCATACATTACTTTTGAAATGTATGTAGTGTGATTGTGAATATATGCATCGCGTAAAAAGATTGAAAGTATATGCATTAGAATGTTAACAAGTGTTATTTCCAGGATTGTGAGTGATAGAAATTTCTTATTTTTAAAATTTATCCGTATTTTCTACAATGATGTGAATTATTTGTGCTATTATAACTATTTAAAATCTACATTGTTTCATTGCTAACAGTTAAAATATTTTATTCGTTTTGTTCTAGTCCATTTTCATGTTATAGAAATAAATATCATGAAAATGCCCATTTCAAAATGGAGGAACAGAGAGTAAGAATTATGAAATTAATTTAGCTACCGTTATGTGTTGAAAATAATTTAGCATATCTCACCATGATGATCCTATTTATAATGTTATTTCTTTTGATTATTCTAATTTTTAAAATGTGTTTTACAGCTGCAAGACCGTACTCAGTTCAGTGACCGAGACTTAGCCACTCTTAAGAAGTACTGGGATAATGGCATGACCAGCCTTGGCTCTGTATGTAGAGAGAAAATTGAAGCAGTTGCAACTGAATTAAATGTTGACTGTGAAATAGTTCGGGTAAGACACTTTTAACAATTTTCATGGTGTAATTGATGAGTGTCATAAATGAAAGCTTTAAAAAATTATATGGAGCACTGTAAATAATACTATCAGTAAAGTGAAGAAGATAACCCACATAATGAGAGGAAATACGTTCAGATCATATATTTTATAAGGAACTTGTATCTACAGTATGTAAAGAACTCTTACATCTCAATAATAAAAGGCAAATGATACAGTTTAAAAAATGGGCAAAGAATTTGAATAGACATTTATCCAAAGAAGATATACAAATGGCCAATAAACAGACAAAAATATGTTCAGCATTACTTGTCATTATGGAAATTAAAACCACAATGAGATACCTCTTACTACCTACTATGATAGCTAGAATAAAAACAAACAAACAAACAAACAAAAAACAGATAACAAGTGTTGTCTAGGATGTGGAGAAATTTAAACCATTATATACTTCTGGTGAAAATATAAAATGTTTTAGCCACTTTAGAAAACACTCCTCAAAATTTTTAACATAGAGTTATCATATGTCTCAGCAATTCCACTCTTAGATATATACCCAAAATAAATGGAACGTATATCCACTCAAAAGCTTATACATGGATGTTCATAACAGCATTATTTACGAGAGTCAAAAAGTGGAAAAAAAAACAACAACAACAAATATCCATCAAGTAGATGGGTAATCAAAATGTGATATATGAGTGTAATGGAATATTATAGAGACATGTAAAGGAATGAAATACCAAAACATGCTACAAAATAGATGAATCTTAAAAACATTGTGCTAAATGAAAGAATTCAGTCACAAAAGACCACAAAATTTTGTCATTCTGTTTATTTGAAATGTCCAGAATAGACACATTTATAGAGACAGAAAGTAGATTAATGGTTGCCAAGGGGTGGGTGTAGCTGGAAATGGAGAGTGACTGCTAATGGGTCTAAGGTATTTTTTGGCATGATAAAAATGTTCCGGAATTAGATAGTGATGATTGTTGCATAACTCCATGAATATATTAAAAACATTTTTATTGTATACATTAAATGAATTAATTATATGGCATTTTAAATATATCTCCATAACACTTTTAAAAATTACATGAAGTGATCTGAAATATATGTAATATATTATGTAATGAATGATAGATTGAAAAATTATATTAGTCATGGGTACATTAGTTTACTTTCTATTTGAAAGATGTTGATATACGATTTAGATAGTGGCAGTGGTGTACTGGTAAGTATTTAACAATCAGCTTTAAGGAAAAGCATATGCTGATTTCCCTGGTACAAAGATTTCCACCATGGCTAATTCTATGATTCATTCAATGTGGAGTTCAGAAGTGATGCCAAAAATTGGCTCTTATGAGCAAATATGAATAGGCTTCAGCTCACACTGAAGGGTCATCCCAGATTATAAAGAAGGAAGTACTATTGAAGAACAAGAGACAAAACTCAGAGCTCTTCTAGAAGAAATAAAGCATTTCATTTTCTCTTGCATACGTGAAGAAAGAGGGAGACGTTTAGGGAGAAGTCATAGATCGCAGCTTTCTCAAACACTCATATGTGGAATAGAAAACTGAAAGCAACAAACATGACAAACAAACAGAGACTCATGGACACAGACTGTGGATTAGTGGTTACCAAAGGGTAGGAGGGAGGAGGGAGGTAGATAAGGATAAAAAGGAGTCAAATATTTGGTGATGGAAGGAAATAAAACTTTGAGTGGTGAACACACAATGCAACATGCATATGACGTATTATTGAATTGTACACTTGAAAACTTTTGGTTTTATTAACAAATATCACCCCAATAATTTTATAAACAAACAAACAAACGAACAAATAAATATCTCAAAATACTGTCCTGTTCAAAGTCCTACTTTTCATTTTGTTAGGAGCCAGGTAAGAAATCAAATTAAATCCTGTATTTACTGTGTATGCTGTGTTACATATACTAACAAGGAAATAGAGAAACATTAGACACCTTTCGTATTTTTAAGGCACTTGAAATCTAGCTAGAGGGATGACACAAGAATAGAAATGAAGAAAGAGAAAGTGGAGTGGGATCATGGTATGAGGAACCTAAGCAAAAACTAAGAATAGAAAAATGCAGAGTATGTGTTTTTGTTCTAATTGTCATTCTTAAAAAAAAAAATTAAATGAAAGTTATACATGCACATAACTGAAGGATTCAAGTTCTGTAGAACTTGCAGCAAAATCATCATTCTTCACTCCTTCCTTCCTATCATTTCACAACGACCATAGTCAACCAATTTCCACCTTTTAGATGATACCTTTGGTATTTACTTCCATCTGTTAATAATGTGCTGAATTAATTAGAATTAGGCTTTGCTGTGAGTAACAGAAAGACTCTAAATAACATTGGCTTAGACAAGGTATTTCAATTCCAAGTACAAGTCCAATTTAGAGCTGGCATGGCAGTTCTGCCCTGTGAAGTTGTCAGAAGCTTTTGTGCCTTCCACCTTCCATTCTGCCATCCCTAAAATGTAGCCCTTGTCCTCAAGGTCCAAAGTTATGTCATTTATAGCCCAGATGGCATGACAGAGATGGGGAGAAAGAATGGACATTGTGTACCAGCTATCTTTTAAAGGAGATTCCCAGAAACTGCCAGAAGACACGTTCACTTATATCCCATTGTCTAAGATGACACACATGGTCATACTTAATTATGAGGGAAGCTGCAAATGTAGTTATATTGTGGGATGCTATGTACCCAAGCTAAAGTTCTATTATTCTGGAAGATAGAGAAGACAGATATTGAGGAATACCAGCATCTATCATCTGTTTTTATTACTACTTTTTGATTTTTCAGTGCTAGACATTGTTGATTGATTTTCCACTATGAAATTCGAGGCTTCCTCCCCCGCCCCAAGTCTTTCAAGATCTCTTCATTGATTTATTCACCTACATGTATACTTCTCTTCTCATTCTCCCAGTATAGTTATTTTATATTTTGATTAATGTTTGATATTCAGTGTTAACATTATTATGATTATGTAAATGTTTCCACATCTTAATTATATAATATTTTATTATTTGTCTTTTTATGAATAACATTATTTTTTTTCCTCGGAGTTTATTATTTACTTAGTTTTATTTTTTGTATGTTTGTTTGCTTAATTTTCTAGTTACTTACTACTAATTTATCCTGAAACTCTTCCTCAGTTGTATACACCCCCTCCCAATATATTTATACACATTTGGTAATGTAACAATTTTATCATCTTGAAGAATCTTCTCCTGGAATCTCTGATCTGGTACAATCTGTATTGGCTATTCTGTACCCAGAACACAACTGTAACCTTGAGATTTCCATTTTTAACATGTTTGTCCTTTTGCCATACTTTCTGTAAGATATCCTCAAGTTTATCTTCCAACTTTTCTACTTTTTTTTTTATTTTTGTTTATATTCAATCTGCCACTGACAAAAATAAACATCATGTGCTATGACAGAAGCTTTCAGGCACCATGGGCTGCCATAAGGGCTCCTTGATATCCTGTACTGCAGGACAGAGGAGACAGGGACAGAGTGTTCCTAAAAACATACTCTTTAAAACTGAAAGATAAGATATCCACAAGGTTCCTACCTAGGATTTTCTTCAATACCATCAGGTTTTCGACATAATTATTGTTAAAAAAAAATAATAATAATGGCCAAAGCCATTGATATTGGGACTCTCAGCCATTGATATATACAATGCCCTTAATCCCTGCAGAAAGTCCTAACATACAGAAAAAAAAAATGTGATACCATTTTCTTCTTGCTTAAGTCTAGTTATAACTTCTACTACAGGAAAGAATAAGGAATTGCTTACTACCCTTTTGTTTCTAGTAATTTCTCAAAATGTAAGCATGCCCATGGCAGCGAGAAAATTTGAAAAGTTGATGTGTTGAAAGAGGACTTCTTCTGAGACTGGCCAAGATGGCATAGAAGCTAGATGTTGTACATGCCTCCTCTTGCGACCACATCAAAATTATAACAAAAATACAGAACAATCATGACTAGGAGTCGCCTGAGGTCTGGCTGAACAGAAGCCCTACAACTAGGGACAAAGATAAGAAGTCACCTCAAAACTGGTAGGAGAGGTGAAGATGTGAAACAGTCCAGTCCCACAACCACGTGTGGTGATCGAAAAACGGGAGAGCTGTCTTGACTGCAGAGCTCCCTCTCCCACCTGAGGAGTGAGGGGTCCTGGCCCCACACTGGGTCCCCAGCCCAAGGTTCCTGTGCTGTGAAGAGAAGTCCCCATGATCTCTGGCTGTGAAAAACCAGCAGAGATTGTGGCTAAGTGAGAGGACTGCAGTAGTCACAGATGTTCCTATTAAAGAGACTCACTCACTCTGAATTCCAGCACTGGAGCAGCTGCTCAAGGAGAGCCAAGGATATACGGGGAGACACTGAGTTGTCAGGCTTCCGGGCAAGGGCTGGAGGGGCGGCTCTCTCCTAGACAGAAGTGCTGGCAATATCCATTGTTTCTTGGTTGAGCCCTCCCACCTCCCAGCTTGCGGATGCAGGCGGCCACCATACCTGAGTCTCAACCAACCTGGATAACACAGGTCACTCCACCCAGGGGATTCCCTGAGATTCTGCTTCTTCCAACCTGTGGGCCCACCCAAGCCACCTCCACTGGTTTATTCCATACAAATGGTCTGCATCAGCTCATGCTATGGACTTTCCTAAAATCTCTCAAAAGCTCACAAAACCCAAAGAAGCATCATCTGGTCTTGGCATGCCACACATCTGCTGAGCAGCTCCAAGCCCAGCACTAGTGGCAGCTAACCTCAGTTTCTGGCTTGGCCTCTCGAGGCATCTATAAACCAAGCATGGGAGGCAGCCATATGCAGATTGCTTGGTAACTCTTGCCAGGTGGCCCAGAAGTACACAGGCTGTGGTTGAACTTGGCCTGCAGCTGGGCTCCTCCCAGGAAGCCCTTGGCCTGCTTCAACCTGCTATGGAGTCAGACCACCACCTAGGG